TGCTAAATAATGTAAATAAGAAAGTATGTAAGTATGGAACTTAGCTATATAATATTTACCTTACCACTGATTCGAATCTTTGAAACGGTTGCTTTAAAGGTTTTATAACTTTACTTGAAATGTAAATGGAATAGATACAATTCTACAACATTATTCTTATCTTATATTTTTACTTGATATCAATCATTAAACGAGAAAAAAATTATTAAGATTATTTTAATACTTGAAACATTAATTTTTTTAATACAAATGTACATATAAAAATAATAGAATATCGGAGAGATAGCGATGTTATGATATACTTACAGCAAGCAGGTTGGTTGACGTTGCAGTTTTTGGATGGTATCCAGAGATCCGAGGAACCAGTGTCGAAAAGTATTTTAAATGTCTGCGGTGGAGTTCCAATTTCGATAGTACCGTAGTATTGAATATTTCTCCAATTAACCAGAGGTACGGTTGCCGTACCCGAACGGTGTCGTATCATAGTTTCCGTCGAAAATTTTTCAACAGAGAATGTCTTGTGTAACGGAATACTTAAAACAATATAAAAAAAATTCCGTTATATTATATGCGTATATGTATCGTATAAACGCGAATGTATGTTCATATATCGTACAACATAAATACGAATTTCAAATAATTTATTTGATCATTTTCGAGCACTTCTTATTTAAAAACTATTAAAGCCTCAACATCTTGACATTAAGAAATAAATGCTACCTGCATATATTTACGCATTAGAATGTAGTTAAGTATTTTAAATGCGAATTTCTCTTTTCTTGATGCTAATCTCATTTAAAATAAGATTTTTGAAGGAATCCTCAAAGCATTTCTTGTAATTAGTTTGCTCACTTTATTCCGACTTTCAAAATGCGTTTGTCTTACAGATTTGATACAATTATGGTTTTGAAATTAATTTGATAATTATTTATTGCGAATTCTGCGGCGATTCCAAGTAGTAGTTGGAAGCGCGATCTCTATACGGTATTATAATTCATCGTGTCGATAAAAATGTGTATCATTTGTACATAACATGTACTCACCTATGCAACTTCGCGTTGATTGACGCGAAGTTGATTATCGTGATTACCGTCATCGTCACAAAGAGCCGATACATGTTTCCTGAATTTTTCAGCGACTGAAGCTACACAAGACAAAATCGTTTTAGGACCGTTAGAACTGCGAGTCAATCCACAATTACCGGTACGTACAGACTAAGAACAGGCAGTCAAATTGCTAAGCGTTTCCTTATATATACAAATGTGCGTACATGGCCTTGTGCTTATAAGAAGGTGGGGGCAGGAGGGCAGAAAAACAAACGAAGCGTTCCTAAGTTTTGTGTTCGAACGATATTAGAAATCGCTTCGAGATCTCGGATGGAGAAATAAAATTGAATAATCATATTTAAGCAATTCGGCATATGACCAATGCGATTGATCAGTTGCAGAAAATTTAAGAATTTTATCAACATAAAGAATTTATCAAATTTAAGAATTTTATCAACATAAAGAATTTGTCAAATTTAAGAACTTTATCAATATAAAAAATTTTGTCAGTTTCCAAGAATTTTCTCAATTGTCAAGAATATTTTACATTTCCAAGAATTTCTCGCATTTCTAAGAATTCGGGGTTTCAAATCCGGCTTTCGTGAAAATCAAAAGTCTGGAAAATTGACAAAGTATTGCAATATAATTAGAAATAATCAGGAACAAGGTGAAATCATAATTTCAAGCGTAATGAATAAAATTAATCCTGTTAACATTTAAGCTATTAAAATATCTAACTTGCGTGATAATGGTACGAAATAAGCACAACATATAGCAAAAGCTCCAATCAGCATCGCGGAGAGAGAACAACGATAAAATCAATATTTTTTGTGAAGGAAAAAAAAGTTCTTTCCACACTGTCTCATAAAAGTTGTATTGCACATCTTGCGTCAATCAACTTGTGCATTTCTGCAAAACAGATTTGCCATT